GAGTATCTAATGTACAAATTATATACTGAATTTGAGAGGATAGATGAGATTGATTTGGTAATGACCGTAGAGGATTGATCTTGAGCTTTGGTTGATTGTGATGTTCATTTTTGTAGACCATGTAGACCATGGGATGATAGAACCTGATAGTATTGAATCGTAGCTTTGGTTTGTAAGAACTATGAGCTTAAGGATTTATCAAAAATAAACATCAGACTACAAGAATTTTGCTACTTGAATTGAATGATACTATTTTCTTGATTTCTGTTTTATTTCTAGTGTAGGCTTAGCACTCAACAAGAGACTGCTGGTCATTTTTTTATTTTTTGAAGTTATTATATATATATATATATATATATAGATATCAATTGATCAATCTTAGTGATGAAATTGAGTGAATTCCTCGAAATGTATTCATTAATAACATGGCCACTTCAATACATCAGGTATTTCAAATAGTCTAATTTTGTGCTCAAATTAATGCAATTAAGTTTTAACACCAAGTTCACTATATGGTCAATTTCAACTGACAACAGAAGTGAGAAAATGTACTGTTGAGCAGAACAGATTTTCAACATGGATTTCATACATCTTCTTATATTAAACAAACATACACATCAAAATTATTGATGAAATTTGGACCAAAGTTATTATGTTGTACAAGTCCAAGTTCATGAACTGTAGATTTTGTACAGTAAAATCATGTGCATAGGATGTAATGTATTATTTCTGTTTAGCTAAATTTTACTGTAACATGCATGTTGTCTTATTTGTTGTTGCAATCATTAATAGCTGTACCTTAAATTAATTGTATGTGTCACTAAGGAATGAAACAAAGTGTCTAATTACTAGACTTCCAATACCATTGACTTAATCAGAGAAAAACCACAGTTCATGAATTATATATTTGAAAAAGAAAAAGAAAAAATTTCTTTGAATTTGCACATGATTACAGAAACATTCAATCAGCAATGAAAAGTCCACATAATATGTTTTCATTGCTGATTAAAGCAAAAACGAAAAACGTTCCTCTACTTTTTGTTTTCATTTCATTTCAATTACGAAGTTTATAAACATGTATAATGCAAGTTTTGTTTATTTATTTATTTTTAAACATATACACTATAAACATGTTATCCAATAATTCCCAATAAAGAATACCCATTCAGAAAATCGTACAAATGTGAAATTGAATATTTGTTATATAAACATGCTTTGACTTTTTTCCCAAATAATAAAAGAGTGAATGTCAATAAACTTTAAGAAAATGAATACAAATAGTTCACCATTCAATTGAAATAAGAATGTATAATCTATTTTTACATATTATCCTGGATTTATTAAGCTTTTTTTTTAATTGTACAATTTAAGGAAAAAACATGGTATGAGTTATTTTTTAAAATAGATTGAAAAATAATAAATATATTCCTTATATGAAATATGTTTTTATAAATTGAACTTGATCATATGTTTAGTAGTAGACCTCTTTGGGTTACTCTAAGGTACAATAAATCAAAATAAGAAATTACATGACATATTATAATATCTCACTAAAATAACGGTTTCATTCATTTTTACCAAAACGTAAAAAAATAGTGTATTTTCCACCAGATTTTTGAGAATAATGATTTTTATTCCATGAATTTCACATAAGCAAACAGGGTCTTCCAAAGAAATACATCTTTATGATTTTTTGTAAAAAAATTTCACCATTACTTTTTTTTTTTTTTTTTTTTTTTTTTTCTGTGTTTCCCTTAAAGGCTTAAATGGTTTTTGTATTCGTTTTCAAAAATTTAGGAATACAACCAAAATTTTCACATTTTTTATTTTATATTGAATAATTTAATCATGTGTTGGTTCAATTTCTTTTTCACCACCAAAAACTTAAATTAATTTCTTAAATATCTTAATTTTTAAAAATATTTTGTTTATCATATCATTTTTTATTCTAAATTACAATGTATAAAATCAATTTTTAAGTGATGCTTTACAGTTATATACCAACATCATATTCTTCCATTATTTTATGTAACCCCAAGAAGTATTGTAACATTATCCTTTGTTGATTTGGTATTACAAAAAAATATTTAAATCTTTTAGTTATAATCAATTCGAATTGTATATATTTGTCTAAAATTCATCATTGAAAATCACACCTGCATGAAAACAAGAAAGTAAGAAAGCAATAATAATAATACTAAATTCAGATAACATTTAAAAATCCATGCTGTTATTTGTCTTCATCTGCATGAAATAATGTATGCAATTGTAAAGTCTGTAGTCTTAGAAATAATTAAAACAAATTATTTATGTATGTGTGTGTGTGTACATGTATAAATGTGTGTGTGTGTACATGTATAAATGTGTGAGTGTGTACATGTATAAATGTGTGTGTGTGTGTGTGTGTCACACTTATTATTAAAATAAATTGGATTACTTGATGCCAGAAATCAAAGGTGAAAATGAATAGTTTTCCATGAAAACCCATAATCATAAGCTATTTGAAAAGAAAAAAGAAAAAAGAAAAACAATCTTAATGAACACAGCTATGAATTATCTTAATTTGGAACTCTTTTACTTACAAATTAAAATTACAAATTGGTTGTCCTTTTACATTAGTCCATTCTTTCTGAAATATTTTTTATATTTTTTAAAATATGAGGCACCTTTATTTAGTATCCTCAAGTTAATTTTTTGTATTTGTAGCAATGTAGAACACAAAGTTTTACCACCTACTTTTGTACTTATTGGATATTTCTTCATGTAATAAAAAATAAAAATAAAATAGTCTTCATTTTTTACGTTTATCACACACCTTCATAAACAACGTAATCCCAAAACACTTACTTGAGGAAATAATTAAATCCCACAAAACTTACCCAAACAATTTATGTAAAATAGTACATACATTGTAAGTTCATAATGCATAGAGTGTACAAAGACCAAAAGCTCAAAAAAGCATGGGACTACTAAAGATGCTAAGATGAAAAAGGCATCATCAATTTTCACAACTTCCCTATGTGCTAATTTATAGGGCAAGGATGGCTATTTGTAGGTGTGATATTATATATATATATATATATATATATCTCTCTTTGAATGAAAGAGGGTGTTTATATAATAACACTAAAACCTCTCTAAAGCCAAGACATCTCGTCATCATCCAAGAACTCACATCCATCGATCATCCATCCATCGTCCATCCGATAGTCCGATAGTTGTCGGGGCGGACCCCACGGAACAGCGCTCCTCTCGGGACTACGGCGCACTCCAGTCCTGTCTCAATTCTCCGAATCGTGGCCGGAGAAGCCCAGCAACGAAGGACGAATTCTACACCTCGGGACAATTCGATTGCACTAAAATTTGTGGCGAGAGGTGGCGAAATGGGGAAGACGAGAGACCAGTGTCCGCACTCGCCTCCGACCGCAAACGCGCATTCCGAAGTTCGACAGACTCCAATCCCCACGACGGAGAGTGTTTCTGTAACGAAAACGTCGATTCGCGACACTATCGTTCACCATCTGGGGCTAATATTAGGATTCGAAGCCAATGCATGGGATTGGAGAAAATGGCGACGACTGTATTTGCCGTTGGTTTGCAGATGCTGCTGCGAAGGGAGCTGTGACTCATGCCAGTTTTGCTTCGATTGGGTAATAGGGGAGGAGGCCCAGACAGCCGTTTCCGGCAGTGCTGATTCACTGGTGCTTAAAATATCGTGCCAACGTCGGGGGTTGTGGACCTTTGCCGAGTTTGGTGCCAAGCTCCAAAAATGCTCTTCGCTTGCACTCTCAGGACAAGGAAGCTTGGCTTGTCTGTGTTGGGTTCCGTGAAGCTTGTCGTGAAGGTCTCCCAGCAATGGCCATCGCTCCGCCTAGTTAATTTCCTTCGCAAATTCTCCGCGATCTGCCCGTCTACTTTCGGAAAAGCACGTTGGTAGTAAAAACCCTAAATCCTAAAATCTGGTTCAATTCGCCTGTTGTGAAGCACATAACTGTAATCTTTCTTTCGATTATTGTCAGCAAATTGGAGTGGTTGTGTGCTGATTCAAAACAAATATGTGTTCATAAATAGTAACTTTGGGCTCGAATATTGTTTCGTGATATAATTAATTTAGCAAAATCATGTTGGGTTTTAGGCAACTTCTACGATTTTATTTGTTTTGTTCTGTTTTTTTTTCTCTGAATACATATGTTAAATTTACCATAGAATATATATATAATCCCAATATTTTAAACAAACAAGATAGATGTATTTTATTTACTTATTCTGACACCTTTCTAACCAATTTAGATGACATAACCACTAGTGATACTATCGCCATTATTATTTTAAAGTGTTTTGCATTCAAACATGTGAAGGTAGAAAAATGAAATCAGCTTGTGTGTGTATCTATATGTGTATACATGCATGTATTGACTGCTTCAATTTGGTAGTGCTTTTTAATATAGCTACCAAACTCCCATTATGCATTACAACAATTGTAGTTTTTTTTTTTTTGTTTTTTTTTGTTTTTTTTTTTATTCTCTCTCTCTCCCTCTCTTTTGTTTTGGCCATTCCAAAGGACCAATTATTGGCTACAAATCATATAGTCAAGTCTCACCCCCCTCGTTAAGTCACAATCGCAGAACAGTGCAGACAACAACAACAACAACAATGAAAGAAAACCCCATTTGCATCCATCACATGACGGAGCACCTTCCAATCAAGGGACCCCCCGTCCAGTCAGCCCTAACGCCACGCCGAGCTGGCGTTGCCGCTGCCAACGTGGCACTGGCAATATTTTGGCGGGACTCACCCCATCGCGTGAGTCCTGTCACACACCCCCTTGTGTGTTTTTCAAAAGCACGGGTAAGCGACTCGAATTATTGTAACCCGCGTGACGTGGACGGCGGGCAGATGACGTGGAATACGTGCACGCGTCACGCCGGCTCGGGCGGCCCGAGTGTGAAAAAAGCAAAAGCTGCATAGAGTGTGAAGAGTGTTGAAAGCGGGGACTAAAAACAAGAGCTGGGAATGGAATGGCTTCGCATCCGCAACGCGAGCTCAGCGCTGCCTTGCTTCGCCTTTGGATCGTTACTCCTCACACGCAATGCTCTGTTTCGCGTCAATCTGTGCTGGCTTTGCCTCACATTTCCTCCATCGTTTTGCCGCTATCTTTTGAGCCGCTATTTGTTGTATTTCAGCTTTTTTCCTGATTTTTTTCCACATTTTTTTCGTGTATTGTTGTTGTTGTTATATTCTGTTTGGCTTCCGATTGCTGTGGCATGTAAAGGACAGGCGCGCAACGAGCAGGCTTGCGCGAAACCTTCAATTTGATCCTTGGTTAGGTACGTTTGTGGTGCCAATTGTGTTGCAGGCTCGGTTGTTGTAAGCGAGGAGAGATTGTTGTTGTTATTTTTGCTTTGGTAGCGTTTTTGTGGAGCGGAGGTCGGAATTGTGCGTGGCTTGTTTCGCGGACCGGTGCGACAATTGAGTACGGTGTCCAGATCGCTTGTTTCTGGTGTCTGGATGATGAGTGGAATAGTTTTTGGATCAGGTCTGGGATGCTGGATCGTGGAATTGTTCTTTTCTCATGTTGAGTTGTTTGTTGCGTTCGCGTGTTTGGTGGATGTCGATTAGAGATTCGTGTGTAACTGCGTTTCGAGGGAAAGCATAAGTCTACTAGAGACACTTCATGTGCTGTTATTGTAATCTCGATTTTGGCATTGATTGGTACCGTGTGGAAAAACTTTGTTCCATTTTCTTCGGGGTTGTTGTTGAGCGCGAGATGTAGGAACTCGTTTCGTACTAGATTCAATGTGCGTCTGGTATCCAGTTAACAGGCACTTCTGAATCTTATGCTGTTTTTTTCATGTTCTCAGTGTGTTCGCGTCGTTCGGTGAGCCTGTTGATTCTCGTGCAGTAGTATATCAAATTATCGCGCAAAAATATTGATTGCGATGCTGCTCTGGCTGTGACGACCCTCATGTTTACACAATTGAATGTCATATGAGTTTGACAACCTGGTTCGTGTAATTAGGTTGTTCTTTGTAAAAAGAATCTCGAGTCGTCGAGGAGAGGCTTCAGAGCTCCTCTGTAGATTCATGGCCATTTCATAGTATGCGATCGGCGCATTTCTAGCACTTCCTTAGGCTATTAATTAACTGCGCATTTCTTAAATGCCATCGTCAGGTCGATCCTTCGGGACGCAAGAATACGAGTTCTTTGAATTCCTAGATTGGCAATTTGAATGCTTGAGTGGCTCTCGTCTTAGGGAACGAACATAGGATTTTAATACAAATAAACAAGGGTGATCGCATGTTACTTCAAGCATCTCTTCTGTTTGGAGTGTGAAATGGTTGCCTTCTTTCTGCCTCAGTTATGGAGAAAGAGTCGGAGCTCCCAGCGTCGCAAATGAGGGGAGAGAGTGGTGGTGCGCATCTGAAGCCTGTGCAGCCCTCCACGTTAAACAATGCCACACTCAAACCTCCACAGGCAAACGACAATGAAGTCGAAGATGACGATGGAAACGACTGCATTTCCCTCAAGGAATGGCAGCCGACAGAGACGACCAGCTCCAGGCCTTTCGTAAACATTAATGGAAACGGGACGTCTTACAGCGCCTGGCTACCAGTGAAGGAGAACAAGGCGTCTCCTGGTGGCCTTCCACCGCTGAAAGACAACAATCACAATCGCTCCACTCCTCTCCTAGAGATCAATGGAGATGTCTGCATCCCGCATTCCATCCACAGAGCTGCCCCGTCTAAGCTTACCTTGTCCGAGTCTAAGAGAACTTCCCCAAGAGACCAGCTTGAGGATGGTGCCGATAATAGAATGCCCGTGGAAGGTTTTGAGGATCATCTCAAAATCAAGCCCGCGACTGAACCCACTAATCATGTGTCGGTACCCAAATTAATAGGTCCTCGGCCGGAAAAGAACCACCGTCATCACAGCACTAGACTCGAAAATGGAATCCCTTCATCACAACCCGCGGGCAGATCTGATTCGGACAACGCCCTGGACGATCGAAGCAATAGCATGTCGCTCCGATCGACGGAATCAAGCCGGGGCTGTTCCTTGCGGGTCTCCTTCATCAACGAGGTAATGCTTGAGTCGCCCAGTCCACCCCAAAAAGCAACGACATCGTCATTTCTGCCTCAAAAAAACCGCAGCAAAAGCCCCCTCAAGAGACCAAATTGGGATCGTTCAGCAAAAATCGGAAAGGCTGCGCCGCCCATGCCCAAGAAGTTTGTTCGACCTACCCTGCATGGCATCAAAGTGAAGAGGGGTCAAGGCGGTGTTGCTAAGACCGCAATGAGAGCATCCATGTCTTCTCTGGAAACTGAGAATGGATTTGCAATGCAAGATCGATCGAACTCGACGGGGACGGTGGCTCAGTCCTGGGATTCACAGCAATATCGCGGTGGGGGCAATCACGATTATATGTCGCTTCCGGCCTCCAGTACCTTCGTATCTTCAACTGAAGACAAGATAAAAGAATCCGTATCTGATCGCTCTTCTCTGCCCCGAAGCAATGGGGTCCGATATCACGAAGACCTTGATTTCCTGACAGCGGGCGAGGTAATCGACACTGTACTTTACAACTCTTCTTCGGGTTTCAAGACCTACGCACCATCAACTAGAATTCAATTTGTCCATATCTTCACACTTGTGTCAAGACCGACTTCAACCAGTTATGCTTTAATGTGAAGAACGGGTGATTTGTGCTTTTCTATTCTAAATTTGCACAACTTGCTTTAAATCGAAAATTTTAGAATAGTCTACATTTGTACATTAATCACATCCATTGGCTGATCCTAATTTCTTTCTTGTTCATATAGTTACGTGTCTGAATGTCCGAATTATGCTAGTCATCTGGGTGAGGCTCAATCAAGTTTGTAAGCAATAAACATTTTTGTGTAAAACAAAATTGGCTGTGCAGGGGCTTTTGTGGAGGGCATCTTTAGTCATGCTGACGAATGCTGCTGATTGCTTTGTCCTGAAACATTTTCTGATTTTTTTTTGTTTTCGTGTAGAGAATGCGGTTAGTTAAAACAACCTTCATTTAAGTAATGAAGTACTGTTGTTACTCTTCTCAGGACTTAAAGCCAGACGGTGGTAACACTGAAACCAAAAGGCTAACTGGAGAATTTGGAAGATTTTTCAGCAAGCTTCGGAGATCATCTACTTCTCTATCCAAGCCACCGTCAAAACTACAACCACCTGTAACTCCGAAACCGCTAGCGGTCCCTGTGCTTGGTAAATTGACAAAAGCGAACTCATTGCCAGTACAGAAAGTCACTAGCAAGACTTTTGCTTCTCTTCATTCGTTGAACTCAAGTGGTGAAAACCAAACGTTTGCCATTGGTAGCTATGCAAGCCTGAAGCTGCTGCAAGAATGCGCACAAACGGAGAAGATTTCTCCGAACCCTGCGTACAATGTGCACAAGCCTCGAAAGATCCGGGATCATGAACCTCACATTCATTTCTACAAAACTATCTCAAAAGCCCTAGACTTAAAACTCAAGTAGGTGATCAATAAGGACTACTGGTCAAATTAGCAGATTCTCTGTAACAATCTGAGATTCGTAACCGTTTGACCGAACTGTCTTGTTGCAGGAGAGTACAATGATGATTGGTTTTTCTCTATTCATTAGTGCACCAAACCTAACATAAATTTCTATATTATTTACGCAGAGGCTTTAGCGGGCATATGTTGCTCATGACACTTTAGTGCATTTTTTCGTAGCCAAGGTTAGTTTATTTTGCTTTCGGGGCCAGAGTAGCCGATTATAGATTACTTTCCTCAGAAACCTTATACTTTTAGAAATTAAAAGAGTTTGAGTTTTTTCTGTACATAGGTAGCCCCTGCCGTTTTCCTAGCGGTTGCGTTGAAGGTTGACCCGGAAACAAGAACGTAACCATCATAGTTTCGGAATCCACCTGCCAGTTCACGGATGATTTTTCTCAGGATTTGTAGTTTCTCGAGACCTGTCACGACTATGATTTCCCTCTGTTTCAAGTAAGTTACGCCGAATCCCAGAACTCGAAGTTTCAACAGTTTATGATTAGGTCTGAAGATTTGGTGACCAAATAGTCCCTCATGTTCCTGATTATACGTTTCTGGTTACGCAGGGCTACTTTAACGCTTAGGAGGGCAAAATGGAGTGTCCGATGACGATCTAAAGGTGCCAGACCTTGGTAGACCCTCGCTTTTGAGCGATGTTTCCCTCGTGTTCATGGACGGTTCTGGAGATTGGACATCATGGCACAGTAGTTCTAATGATACTACTGGTCTCTCTCTGCTTCCCGCTCCTGTAAACTACCCAGCTCTCAGAAAGCAATTTGCAGAAAAACAGTTGTTGAGTGGTTCATTTTTGTGACATAATTAGTACATGGGATAGGTGATCGAGGAGAAAGGTTCTGTTCTGCAGTAGCGGTCGTTTCTAGAGAAACATTGAAATCATTCAATAGTACGAAAGTAAATAGTTGATTCATAAACTGAAAAGTTTTAATATAAGTGATTGTCCGTTCACAGACACAGCGTTGTCGCATATGGATACAATCACTCTTACCCATCATTCATCCTCGTCTTCTAATGCGGGTGAATTTTAATGGCTCCTTGATACATTTTTCTGGTAGAAATGCGTTCCCCTCGACTAAGTTATTAAGAAGACTAATGATGAATATGCGACGCTTCAAAACAGACAAAGAAGTGAAGAAAAAGTGCCCCGTCGCACTGGGCGTTACATTTCCGCTTGACAAAATACACAGCGGGTGGCAATCTTAGCTAGAGATATAAACATAAACCTCACAAGGCTATGCCGTGATTCATACAGAACTACTTATATACATCGTGCTACACCGACAACACAATCGATCCGTTGCTGCAAGCTCCGCGAGATGACTACGTTGCGGCTTTAAAGAGCATGACCGCCAGTCTTCCTATGCAGAAGTGAATAAAGGAGCCCGATGAGTGGGTGATGTAGGAGCCGAAGCCGACGCCGGTGACACACTGCCACCCTGCGCCATATGTCTTGTCGAATTGCTGCAATGCGGAGCACCCGAAGCCATCGTCAGCGCCACGAGAATTGCGACGAGCTGCGAATGAACGAGCAAAGGGATCGCCGAGCAGGCGTTTGACTAACTAACCTTCTTGATGTAGCACGCGATCTCCTTGCAGTCGGTGACGTTGTGCGAGTCCAGCGCTTCCGATGCCACGCGCAGCGCGTGCGATTGCATCAAGTGCGGCATGTCCGTCTCGCCGATCAAGGTCTGTTCCTCCGCAGCCTTGGATGGCTCCTTCAGCTTCGCCCTGCGGCTCAGCAGCGACGGAGACGGGTCCAACATCTTTGTGGATCGCTCCCTGCCCAGTTCAAACAAACGAAAACACTTGAGGATTTGCTAATTGAGCTTTTTGGGCAGGGTCAGTACGAGTAACCGTCGCATTACTATCTGCACTGGCGCAATAGCTTCGGTAGTGGTGCATGTAAACGACTGACGATACAACTCAAGGGCTCCCGTGGGTCGATTCTCTGGGGGAGTTCGAAAGCTGGCCGAGGGATCAAACCAAGCCTATTTATAGAACTCACGTCACCACAAAGACTTCTCACCAACCACTAAAAGTGCAGACAAATTTTTAAAATAACACGAAGAATTGCTCGACAAATTGATCATCACTCTGCGTTCCTCGGGTGGAGATTCCAATGAGAGTTCTTAGGTTGGACCCTTCATGACGAGTAGCTCATTAGACTTACCCAGCAACATCATACGATTCCAGAACGCGACACATCAACAAACTCATGGAATCTTCTGGTGTAGGTTGAATCTTACTTACTCAAAAGCTGCTCTGCGCAAACTTGCTCGCCGAATTCTGATCAACCGCCAACACTTCACCAACCAAACAGCAGAGAAACTAGCTGTCTAGACAACATCTTTTGCCACACGATCTGCTGACAGTGCTGAGACGAAAATTGTCAATACTCCACACAGCTTCTCCGGCTTTGAAGACATTCTGTTAGTTATGGGCTTCCAAGAAGGCAATCTTAGGAGTGCTACCAGTGCTCTACTGCTCGTGTCACACTTAAAGCACGACGCATCTTGTGATCAGGACCATGGAAGCGAGCTCCAACAGCAACAAGACGGCGTGGAGTGGAAGGAAAAGCACTTAACAGGAGCAGCGACAAATACTTAACTGAACGGAAGTTAAAAGCTGAAATCCGAACTCGAGAGAGGGAGTTGGGTATTTAGCAAGACGACTCGTGCTTCGGTGATTATAAATAGATCCAGCCGAACGAATTCGATTCGGCGCGCAACTCTTTCGTTCGGATCCGCGATCTCTTGTCGCATTCCCGGTTGTGTTTCGGCGATGCCTGATCCAACCCAACATGCTCCCACCCGGCATGCGCTTAACATAGACTGCGCATACCCTAAGTTTCCGCATGTGGCCAAGCGAAACGGACTCCAGGGCTGTGAGTGTCAGTCGACCCTCTTGTCGTCATATCTTTCTGGTCAGATGAGATTCCGTGATGGTTGCTTAAATTATACAGATCGGCGATCTTCGCTCCTGCGCTCAACATGTGCCTTGGACAGTGGCTGACGTCGAAACCAGTTCCCTGCAGGCGAAGGTGGTGCGGTGATCACATTGTCGAAGACTTGGGATTCAACCAACACTCACAGTGTAATAACAATGCTAAACTTCCACCACAACTTCACGGGAATGGGCCTTCGTGCGGTGTCACACTCAATGGTCCATAATTTCAGTGCAAATTTCAGTGGGAAGCTCGGCGTTGCGAGCCTGCTCATTCAAAGTGTAAAATCCCAGCTCATCCTCACTACGCCGATGCTGAAACACTGCGTCGGAGTGTCAGACCATCGTTGCATGTGAATTATTCTTCAAATCTATAGCAACCCATTCTATTGATTACTCTATAAAATTATTCTGGTCCACGACATCTGCTTCACTCACAATACTCCAAATGCCTCTGCCTTGGACTAATTGTTCGTTTGCTTCCGTTGTAGGTGCCATGATTTTTTAATACAGACATAAAACGCCGAAGTATATTCTCTCTAACTAAACTCAGAATCCACGCTACCACAAGGCATCCACTTAAATTACCTACTGTGGTCGGAAACTGCTTCCGCCTCGCAGGAACGGCATAGTAGAGGTCCATTCTGCAGCAATTCCTCTTCGGACTGCACAAGCGAACTGAGAGAGTGCGAGGCAATGCGGTTGGCACTTGCTCACGCGCAGTCGTGCGAACTTCACTGTCACTCATATTACCGCTCGACCTGCACGTCAGGATGGTGGTGGATGACCCCAGGGATCCCTGGGTTACGTGTGGTACGGTGGGTTAGGTGCAGGTTTTGTAGCTACTGGGTCTCCGGAATGGCGCCTGGAGCGGCAATTTCTCCATCAATCCTCGTTTCTAGGTCGCGGTTAGGAGCACACATTGGCATCCATTGCAAACACGACAAGCAGATAATAATACTTCAACATGTTATCTTTGGTGTCAGCAGGTGTTCGCTCTGATGAATGAATTGCATTATTGTGGAGCATGAGAACAAATCCTGTAGAAAAGAATCCACTGGAGCTAGACATGCCAAATGTCACTCAGTTGAATAGTGCATTCGTTGCAAACTGACGCTGAACGTGCAGAAGAATAATCTACCCCGTTAACCAAATCTCAGAATTCGCGATAGTACATATTACACAAGGTTGAATATCCCCTGGCATGATTGTTAACCGCCGCATCGAGGGATTACAGAGCAAGTTTGTTCCATATCACTTCTGTACGTTCAACCAAGCTAAAACACAGAAGGATCATCGTATGATCTCATTCCTTGTGTAATAGGGATCTGTCCCTTGTCTATCGAAACTCGCCTGTCAATTTACTATAAATAGTTTGTTCCATAAGTTAGAAGTGATCGTCATCGATACTTTTATTTACGACAAATCCTTCAAATTACTGTGGAGTTTGCAATCGTCAGCGTACACATTAATGGATTAGTTTTATTATCGGAAAAGTTGTCAATTCGCACTTTTACTCTCGCCCACCGAAAGCAAATCAACCGTCCAAGGGTTAGCAGGTGTCGGTTTCCGTTAGGCTATCTAAAGAGGTTGAGTTACAATGCAGAATGAGTAGGTTATGCCGGAGGGGAGTATGATGCCTAAACTTCAACGGGAAATCCCGTTGAAATTGTACAAATATTTCAGAATCAGTATTTCGAAGGTAGCACAAGGTTTCCGAGTATCCCGACTGAAATCTATTACATATCCATGTTTCAGTGCTTGAGCTGAATAGATATCAAACGAAAAATCAAATCGTCAGCTGTAAGTACTCAGGGAAATACCAGTCAGGCGCTCAGTGGAAGAAGAAGTCGTTTTTGTATTTGTCCACAATGCTTTTCGCATTCTACACAATGCCTCACGGCGTCATCATCATCGCGCGATAAACAGATTGTAAGCTCTCAAGAAAAGATGGGGACACCATTTCATCCTAAGAGAAGAACAGGAAAGAGGACTTAAAAAAGGTGTAAATGCTGAGACAGAGTGACGGTGACGATCTCGCACTGAAGAAGCGCCACATATTCACACCCCATCCCTAATGTTCTTGCAGCTCTTTCTTCAACAAGGCTCATAGGTAACCCTACTCTTGTTGCTTTTTTAAGTGCGTAAGAAAATGAGGACATTCTATGTGCGACGCAACACGACCAAAGGCACTATGCGCGGAACTGTAAATTAAAAAAAAAAAAATGATAAAACAACTGTCCTCACCTAAAGGGGGCCAGTAACAGACCTGAAAAAATTAACAAGCAAGAGACCCTAGCTACACAGCACATACACAGACACAATTCTCCACAACCACAATACATAGAGGGCATGGAGGGAGGACAATAAATACTCCGACGCTCAACCGCCATCTTCGACGTTTAGGGTTTTGAAGCCAGGAAAAATCCGGGTATATACCTGAAAAACGCGTCACAGGGTATCGGTGCTTCCAGATACCTGTCCTTAATTTGGCGCGACCAGGTATCTCACTGTGACGGCAGTAGCGCCGGGTATAAGTATCAAGGCAGATGAATCTCACATCAATTTAAAAATTAATCCATATACTTGGGTAACAAAACCATAGCTATAGCATAATAATCATACTTGTGTATTGCCTCTAATTTTTCATTCGGGTTCAAATGTAATTAAGAAACTTGAAAACTTCAAAAATATTAAATCTATTATGAATAAACAAAACTAATATAATTCTTAAATATATATATATATATATATATATATATTCATACTCGTTTATTTAATTTATATATTTTTTACACAAAATTTACATAAGATTAAAAATAAATATTTTTAGCTAAATTGCATGTGCATGTAATTTATTAGAAACTTAGAAAGATTTTTGTTGACTTTTTCTCGACATGTTCATTGATTTTTATTAAGAAAATGATTTATATCATTAGAACCAATATTTTTTTGTTAAAATACCTTTAATTGGTCTCACCAGTATTTTTTTTATTCATTTGTTTATTATTATTCATTCACATGGTGCCTTCTAAAGCAGGGTAGGTTTTCCTATTAATACGTATTTAGTGTTACGTATCAAGGTTTTAGTTCAATAAACACAACGAAAACTAAAAGCAAATATCTTTTCTATCATTCACATTCTGTGCGTATAAGTAACATTTTATTATTATTATATGAAAAATATTGTGATTCGATTATAACTTCCCAGTCCACTGTCCATAAACTCAAAAACAAGAATGATCATCACCTACTCTCAAATTTAACGAACCTGTTCTGCAAAATTGCAGCAAGTTATATGTTTTACACTTAATAAACTTCCTACAGCGTCATTGATTCCATCGCCTATCATTCCACTTCTACTCAATAGAGTAATAGCCTGACGAAATATCGAATTCATATTGCCGATACAGAAGCTCTATTACTCTGATCGTAACGAGCAATCAGCACGTTACGAGGCCAACACTTGGATAACCGGACAAGCACACCTTAAGCAAACCTTCACAATCCAACTCTCTCCGCTATTTCGGTTCCCGGCCTTGCAGAATTAACAGATCTAAAACAGAGTCCCAATGGTCGAATCTCTGCTGAGAGTAAAATCACCCAGGTAATTCACCACTGCGCAGGGTGGAGAAAAGCAGCAACTCCAGAACTCAATTCTCACCGATCGTGGAAATCTCAATTGCAACCTGAAGTAGAACAGGAGACAAAACAAATATCAAAGAAACCTGTGCTGCATGTTGAGACAATCCCGAAGTCTTGGGAGATCTATCTCTTCGAAAAAGGCCGCCGTTGATTGCATGGATCCTTTCCTTCCAATCCTCAGAAAACTCAGTCTGGAGACGTTTGAATTCAAAAAGCGCGCTACCGATCCGGTGTGCACACGAAAGTAAGGGGACTTGAATACTTATCCATAACATGGCAGTGACGACGTGGCGTATGAGTCCACCGTGGCATCCCAGGTGGAGGCAACACAGAGCCTTCCCCTAATCTCGACCCTGTAAAGTCGTGGTAACTCGTCCTCATCCCATTCGTGGTAATGGGTCAAACAATGCTAAATTCTGGTTCCCTTGGTTGTTGCGACATTGCATGGAAGGTTCGAAGCACGGTAATGGGGTTCCTTTCAACTGCCACCCTGGCAACGAGAACAGTTCCTGAAGCAACCAGGTTTCAGGATTTTAGGGTTTTGTCAGTTGAAATCTACCAGATTAGTATTGATCATCCCTAAGTGGGTTTGGGGTTGACCTGAGATTTAGAGTAGAAATATAATGTTGACATCGAAAACTTCATTGTATTTTTTAGGTTACAAGTGTTAAAAAATACACAAAAAAACTATAATCAATACATAGTGTTACATACCATCATTGTCTACCACCAAATATGGTATCAGTGCTCTGTCATATGGTTGTCTTTTGGAACTAGATCAGGATTTTATGAAGCACAGTTTGTATTCTACTGTTGCTTTGAAACTACATGAGGCACATCTAATATAAAATTGGTATAATGTTAGTTCAAAATATCAATTCTCGAGATTTCTTGAGATTGTACATTCAAAACATGATTTCACACTGAAATTATCTTGGATTTATTTCTAAATAAAAACTCACAGGTTTTCTGTTAAACAAATTTTGCACTTGTAAACCTAAAATATGGTTACTCACATTAATTGAAAAAAAACGGTTAAAAATTTCCTTACTTATTTGAAATAGATAGATGCAAGGTTATTGAGAAGGTCTAAGATATTTGCTTAATATTCAGACTTAGTGGCCCTATCTTTATGGTTGTTTTATTTATAAATAGATCATATTAATTAAATTGTAGAAATGGCCAGATGTAAAAAGCATTTAAGTTTAAATTTCATATTGTGCTCCTGATCAAACCACATTTTGATACACTAATGCTATCATTTGTTTGTTTGTTTGTTTTTATTTATATTAGGTTAATAATACAAGGTAGTATTATGTTTTCTTATAAATTAATACAATACAATTGTGTTAATGCAATTATTACAATAAAATTAATATTTTGGTAGCATATTCAATATAGTGTCAAATAATATGGATTTATTTATTCATTCAATATTATAAAGCTGTTGTAATTATATATATATATATATATATATAGAGAGAGAGAGAGAGAGCCAATTATAATAATCTAATAATATTTTTTTTCTCTTTTAGCAATATAATTTATTCAATATGATTTATCTAATAATATGCACAAAAAACTATACATATTTAAATAACATATCTCTTTTATTTGTATCGATGTTTTGTTTTGTTTTTTTTCTTTTCTCTCTCTCTCTCTCTCTCTCTCTCTCTCTCTCTCTCTAAACAACATGATTCTTAGCTATTATTCATTGCTTTAAAAAAAAAAAATAGAAGTATATATATATATATATATATATATATAGTCAAAAAGTTTACTATGCTTTTGTAATAGAAGGATATTTACAAGAGTATGATTATTCTTGATTTTAAATTCAAAGCCGAGGTTCTCTTTAGAAAATTGATTTTCAATAAGAATTCAGATTTATAAGCACATTAAATTTTTATCTATAAAGTCTAAAAAATGAATATATTTTATTTTCTAATTACATAGTTTAGTAAAAATAATGTAAATTTTACACACTTTAGGAATAAAACAATTATTTTAATGAACATGTTTATAGATAAGTATTTTGATAGATAGAAAACATCTATAAACGCGATCTCTTGGTGGATTCTTCATGTGACTCTGTCCCTGTTGCCGAATTTGCCTCGGTGAGTATGGCGATCCGTATTTCGAGCTTACCCTTGGAGCCACATGGTCCATGTGGTGAACTATCAGGTTGTCTCGGTGGTCAATCGTGTCTTGGCACACGTTTCATTGGTTTGTAGATTATTTTTGGTGATTATTTTTCATTTTTCGAGCTTACAGTTTGAGGAAAACTGTGAGACGGCGCTGGCAGTAGCAGCCGAAGCAGCAGCTGCCTCCTATCTCCTCCTCTTGCGTGATCCTGTGATCGTTGTGCCAAGACTGTGTAGGTTTGGAACGTCGTCGTGTGCCTAGACTGCGTCTCACCCTTACTACGTTTACCAGGAATTCTGAATGGAATCTGGTGGAAGGCACTTAATCCTTCACTAGACAGCGAGTGAGTCTGTAGCACAGAACCAGTTCTGAACTTCTTTAGAAACTATTACTCCATTCGATTCTGGTCTGGTCGAAGTGGCATTTTTGGTTGAATCTTTCTCTCCGAACAATATACCATCCTCGAATGGCGAATTGGACGAACACTCTACTTGATTTAGAGAACAGATTGGGCTATTCAAGGATGAAGTTTGGCAAGACTTACACTGAATTCATTGAGAAAGAAGTGGCCTGCAACCAATTGGCAGGTTGTTCTTATGTGAAGTTTGAAAGGTTGAAGAAAATTCTCAAAAAATGTACAACGCCCGACTCTTCTAGCTCTGGCGACGACCTTGATTTCGCGACCTCCCCTTGCTCTTCACATTCTTGCTGTGAGGATTCCCAGGCTTGCACGACTTCAGGTCGTAAGCCTATCTCGAGCTGCCAAAGGAAGACGAAGCTTCGGAAAGGGTTGCCCGTATCTCCATTGAAGACTGGAGAATGTCCTGTGTCATGCCGGGGTATGAATCGGTGCTGAAGTACAAAGATAATTACCGAGTAGCATTTGACTTCGAGTAAAAGATGACTGACTGGTACATTTTGCGGAGAGCTTTTGCGTGACAGAAGCTACTAGCCTGAGGTTATTGAGCTTTTATCATCTTCGATGAAATGTGGACATGAAAGTCGGTTCTTAACGAACTCCTTCCGTCTTTGAACCGTGTCCGCCAGGTGAAGGTACGATAAGGTATTTCAGTGTCTGGCTGTTGGTTGATTTCACTGTATGTTTGCAGCATTCTCAACTTTCTGCGGCCTGCAGGTGGCGACGCAAAGTTTTTTGGGGAGTTGATGGAGAAGCTATTGGAAGTGGTTGGATGCTTCAACAATCGTGCAGAGCAGTTGGTAAAGTTGCACTTGGCAACAGGATTGCGGAAGTATATTCTGCGAGGGAAACGCAAGAACCGAATGTAGAATGTGAAGTCTGAGAATGTGATAATTCGTGCTAGGGCTCAAATAATCGGCTTGGTTTGTCAAAATATTCATCAATCCTTCATCTCAGGTTCTGAACTTCACCCTCACAAGCAGGTTCATGGATCGACTGAAGGATGTTTGTTCAAAAGTCGCTTGATGGCCTTGCGGGGCGAGCTCTTGAAGTCACCATATCTGCTTGAACTTGGAGTGCTGCACCTAAACTTTGTTGACGCTGAAGAGAATCTTTCTGCAGAAACGGAACCACTCGGTGAATTTACGTGCGATTTAGATTGTTGTTCGCCGACTCTTACTTGCAAGGTGGGGGAGTCTACGAGTCTGGAATTCGACCTTTTATGCTCCATATGCTTGGTACGTGTTATCCGTCTATTTTTACTCTCCAAACTACTTGTTCCTATGTTTTTCCACCTTACGCAACTTGATGACTTGCGTTTTTGAGTTTTACTCCTATCATGTCAACATAATCGTGTAATCCAGCGCACATTTTTAACATCGATGTGCTTTGCTGTCTTAATGCAGGAACCGTTGTTTGAACCTATAGCTTTGGGGTGTGGACATCTGTTCTGTAATAACTGCGCTTGCACCGCCTCCTCCATGCTGGGACACGAGGGTCCCAAAACAGCCCGTTGTGACGCCAAATGCCCTCTTTGCCGACAGATTGGAGTCTATCCTGACGGGGTTAAACTGAAAGAGTTGGGTGGCTTGATTTAAAATAGATGTCTGGAGTACTGGAAAGAGAGATCTCAACGAGAGCGGGAACAGCAACTGAAGCTGAAGAAGGACTTGTACAGTCAGCAAATGGACGCTCTTCTAAGGGAGCGAGATTCAATTCTTACCTTATAGGTAGCGAAGCTAGTCCAGGCGATTCTGCAGTGTAGATATGTAGAACGTTTAATTCTATTCAATTACGGTAGTAATTCGAATTAGGAAACAACCTGCGGGGGCGAAAAATATGCCCTTGCAGTCGCCATTCTTTTACAGGCCTTCAAACCATGTGCTCGACTGCTATTCACCCAGGTTTAAATCATGTAGACACAATTGTCAGAGAATTCTGCACAGGCATTAATGTGAATATGTTCGCAGCTTTAAGGCATCGTCCCTCATTTCCTCCAGAGTGTTCCACAAAGCACCAGTAGAATAGCTGACTTTCGAAATGAGAGATATACACATGTACACATTTTCCATGTGAGTGGACATGCACACGTGCTTATTTTCCATTTAAGGGGCAGAAATATTGATGGAACGTTACTTTTGCACCACATTGCTGCATTTTCATCGTCACATCAAACTTCTGCTTCATTAAATAACTTTTCCAAATTTCATTGACAGTTTAGACATGTTTAATACTGACGTCTTCTTATCCACATGCCCATTCGTCTTTCCTCAAGTTTCTAACAATTTCTCCGTGACCAGCACTTGTTAATTATCATCTATGGGCTCAATCAGACGCAGGCGATACTTCTACCGTGGCTCAGAAGTCGATCCAATCTTCTGCCGATGGCTCATGTTCCACATTTACCAATTTGAGCCAAAGTCGATTGTGAGTCGTTCGAAATACATCAGATTTTTGGCTTTTCCAACAATCGTGCTGCTAGCAATGTCGTCACAAATCCATGCTCCGAGTGCCCCGTGTGAAGATGTAAAACAGAGCCAGTTAACCTAGTCAACAAATAGGTAGTCCACAATAGGCTATCGGATTGGACGGTGCTATTGACCTAGTCTGCAACACTGAGATTCTGCAGCCTCACCTCACGGTTTCTAGTCTAGGTGTTTTCTATGGGGGTCATATAGAACTTTGGAGTCACAGGATTGCAGAATCAACGGAAATCAGAAGCGCTTGTTGTGCACCCAGAATTCCTTTGCGACCTGTAATCCATTAGGTCCAGATATCTGCAACGTGATGCGGTATGATTTCCGCATGACAATGCTAGCTCGTGTGACAAAACATTCCACCTCCATTCCAGTGCCTCGCACTCGCAGCTTGCCGCCTCTCGCTCGCTTGAATGTACGAGATCCATGACGTTCACATGGTGCATCATCTTGATTCGGCAGCTTGAAGTTTCTTGTTCTGGACCTTTCCCCCCGTCTTCTGGCTCATCGTTTACCATTTACTATCACTTGAGTTCGGATACGACAGCGGCCGAGATTTGTATTCAATCGCAGACGCATGCTGATGCGGTTGGGTTTAGAGCGGGTTGCAGACCAGTCATCACTGCCTGATTGGAATGCTCTAGCAGCTTCCTTTCTGTTCTATTCTGCTCTGCACAGGGCCAAAAAAATACCCAACAATGTAGATTCGTGAAGAGCCGTTTGACTGGCTTTTATATGAATCTCGCAGCCTGCCTTTCTAGAGATGCATTGTTGGAGATGTGAGTTTTGCTAAATCATACTTGCTTCACTGTGTATAACACGAACCTCAAAGACCTCAAGTACTACAAATTATAAGATTTTGGCTGTTACTCAAGATACATTGATAGGATGCTCTCATTTAGATATCGAGAAATCAAAGTACGTGCTCGCAATGAAGAAAAAGGAAGCAAGAAGACTGAAAGAAAGAAAGAAGGAAAGAAGAAAAGGAGAAAACAAAAAAACCATTCCAGGAATGAAGTATAACGAGGTCAGAGGAGGAGAATGGGCCGCGACTACTGAGGTCGACCAGAGAGTGACCTTGTTCTGTAAGAATAAAAATTGCATACTGAACAACCGACTTATGACAAGTACTTAGATTGATCCGAGATAATGGCACACACTGAAACCATATCCGAGATCTCTTTAGTTTATACTTAGGACGATGATCATCAAGGAATAAATCATCCTCCTCTTCTCTGATTCCTATCTACGAAAAGCATAAGGGAATACTAATCCCCTTGCACGTAGACCATTTCTACATGATATACAACATATTCGAGTGAACGCCAGTAGCCTAACTATTGCCCATCTGCACACGAAACACACCTCAAAGACGTGGTTTAGCTGTTGCCGACTGCAAAAGTTCTCTGCGCAGAATCTTCCCCGATGCAGACTTAGGTATGGCATTTATGAAGGCAACTTTCCTTACTTTCTTGTACGGGGCTACCTGAAGAGCAATACACATGCACGTTTTAAACAATAAGATTACATATGCTGATTTGCAATTGCCCAGGCTTCTATGTACACAAGGCGATGCTTCACAGCGTTTTGGGTTGGGCGAAATTTCAATACTCTAGTAATTGCTTGCGAAACTAGCACATGCAACAATGTTTTGCGGGCTCCAAACTAAGGGCTACCAGTAAAGCCGCTGAGAGATTAACCTCTTCTTCAATGAATTGATGAAATGAAGGATTTACCTGTTTCCCGACCCAGTCCATGATCTCGTCTTCAGTGAATTTTTTACCTGGTTTCTGCACAATGTATGCCATTGGAATCTGGCCAGCTACCTCATCCGGATACCTGAGAATAATCAAACTAAGTTAGTTGTTATATAGACCGAGTCAAAAACAACCAGCAAAAAGTGCACAATATTTTCTCATTCCTGGAGGGGTTCGGTGTTACACTTCAAACTTGAGATTCATGCTGGTGGAGAAATCTATGACTATCGCAGAAGCTTCCACGAAAAGGCATGCTGTAATTCGGATTCATACGACACAAACAAGAAAGTGGTATCCCACTTACGGAATGACCGCGCAATCCAGAATAGAGGGATGAGATAGTAGCAAAGCTTCGAGCTCAGCAGGAGCCACCTGTTTCCAATCAAAACCAAATAGTTAGATGCCAGGACGGGACCAACAAGGCGGCAGGTAAGACATTTAATCAATTTAATGGTCAACACCAAGTACATAGTGAACAGTTTAGCCAACAGAGCTCACATGGTGGCATTTCTCCAGATAAGAGAACAGCTCAAGATTTTCGCAGGTGCTTAAGGTAATTGCCAGAATTGTGAAAATTAGATACAAGGATTCATTAAACTGATTGTCCATAAAGTTTTTTGAACAGGATGTCATGCAGATGACTGCATGAAATATGAAATATGAACTAATAGATTATCTAGAGCTACTGCAAGATATCTGACTGCGACAACAACAAAACGGCAAATTTGCAAAATGAACACGTGTTCAGGTCACCTGATAAGCATTGTATTTAATGAGCTCCTTCAGCCGATCCAGAACATGAATATACCCATCGTTGTCAATCATAACAAGATCGCCAGTATGCAACCAACCATCCTTATCAATGGTCTCCGATGTTGCCTTTGGGTTTTTGAAGTACTCTACACGTGAAAATAAAAGGATAAAGTTTAATTTACCGCTCCTATGTCCACGTTTTCCTGTATATGATTCAACAAAAGGTTGACTCAAATAACCTAGATATCCAATACACGGTTGGCAATCTAAAGCTGAATTCTGATACCTTTCACGATGCTTGGTCCTCGAATCCAGAATTCACCCTGCTTGGTTGGGGGCATGGGCTTATTAGTAACTGGGTCGATTATCATACCCTGCGTATTTGGAAGAAGAATACCAGAAGCACCGTAATGAGCGTCCATATCACTGACATTTGTTGGGGCTGTGGAGCAAGCACCTGTTGATTCCGTCAATCCATATCCCTGAGATTCTTGCACACTTTAACATCCATTAGAACCCAGAAGTATGGACATAGTTCCAATTGGAACATCCATGCATATGGATTTTCTGATATGTGAACACAAACTTGTCAAATCCCAGCACTCGCAAGTAGGCCAAAAAACGTCACATAATAATCTGCAAAGAAAATAAGCTCCAAACATAAACACGCCTAATTGTCATCCATCATACCTGCTTTAACTTCACGTTCGGAAAGCGCTTAGCACAAAGAGACAAGATATCTTTCCCTAAAGGAGCTGCCCCACTTCCAATTTGGAACAAAGAACTCAAATCAAATTTGAGTACAACGTCTTGCTTCGCGAGTGCGATGATGATAGGAGGTACTAAAGGCAGATGGGTAATTTTGTATGTTTGAATAAACGAGAGCATTTCGACGAAGTTAAACTGGGGCATCACAACGACCTTTATTCCACGAGCTAAAGAGCACATTGTGCAGATTGCGAGTCCGTACACATGGAACATTGGCAGTAAGACTAAAAGAACATGATCAGACGAAAAAACCTCATCCACTCCCGAATTATATAAGCAGGAACATGAGATGAAGTTTCTGTGTGTAACGACCACCCCTTTACTCAGGCCGGTAGTACCAGAAGAATACAATAAAGCAGCTATATCATCTTGTGAAATCTGAATCCTGCATAACGTCATCAGGAATGTGTTAACACTTCAGAAAATTATATCAATAGAACCAACTGAGTCATTCAAGGTTACTGGTATTACAATACATACAAGCAAGTTGGAAGCTGGAATCACATTTAGGAAGAGAAAAGCTGGATCACACCGAAGACAAAGCTTACAGGAATCTAATACCAGGTATGAATACATTTTCTGTAAAACCCCCATTATTTTGCTAAGCTTTACGATCTCAATGCGTTCTCAAGGCAACTGACCATGAAAAAACCATGAGCGTAGAGTTCGTCAAACATTAAATCCATTTCAGAAAGGGAAGCAAAACAGTCTCTTTATTCCACTTTACCTTGGCACACCATTTGTGTCAGTCCTCAGCAATTCAGAGTATCGATGAGTTGCTCTACTACCAAAACTAGGCACCACCTCATCATCTCCAAAGATCACCACTGGTAGGTCAACCCCCGCAATTTTCTCCGTTAGGGCAGCCGTAGTGATAATAAACTTCGCCCCTGCAGATGCACATAATTCACAAATCGATCAGAATAAACCTTCCCTTTCCAAATTCATCCACATTGCCAAATCATCAAAACGCCCCATGAAGTAATACACAAAACTGCCGCAATCGAGAGTCCAAGTGAAAAGGAAAACGTGGGCAGATAATTCCAGCGTCCACTCAAACCTCATATTAAGATTTCAAGGTTTCCAATTCATTCCATTGTGCAAAAGTGCTCCTTATTGAGACACCATACAAACGTCTCGAAGTGATAACTCGTATCATGTGCGTAGACGGGGGAATGAATGTTACTTGCCAACAGAAGAAAACATGCACAAATCAGGCATTCAAATTGCATTGTGTGTCAAGAGCAAGACAGCTCATCCAATACCCGACTCGTTAACTTGTTTCTTGATGTACTGGAAAGATTACAGCCAAATCACACTCATGCAGAAGTGAATGTGAACCTGCTGGTGTAGAAGCCACAAAGCAGTATCCACGGCATCTCAGAGATGGGAGTAGAGATGACATTATACCTGCGTCATTCATCTGCTTCTGAATCTCCCCCGTGGTGTTCACGCTATTAACCGTGGTCAGCACCGCTCCAAGGGACATAACGGCAAAGAAGACAACCGCGAACTCGATAGAATTCGGAGACAAAAGCATCACGACATCATACTGCCGCACTCCCAAGTTCTTGTACAATCCCGCAGCCACCACACGAACGTTTCTCTCCAGCTGAGCGTAGGTCAAGCTCCGCCCCGTAGGCGCATCCACCATCGCTACCCTATCCCCGAACTGAGGCGCGAACACAAAACTCACCAAGTCGAAATTCCGAGTCGGCGGAATCCACACCGGTGGCCGCTTGCTATAGTAGATGCCATCGCTACTACAGTATCCTGACCGCGGATCCGTGCCCTCAGGTAAGTGTTCCATGGTCCTAAGACACTCCACTCCAACACACACACACTCACACCAAACCTAGCTCACGAACACTAGTCGAACCTCCTCTTCGCTCTCGGCCACAGAAACCTCCGAAGCCGCGTCGCCCCGAGACTTCCAGCGGCAAACAATACTAACACCAAGCACACTACTCACACTACGCACTCTACTCACACTACGCACACTACGCACTCTACGAACACTCCGCACACTACGAACACTACGAACACTCCGCACACGACTTGCAGTACCGACACCAGCAATTCCTGCGAGTAAAAGATGCCATGAGAAGCATCGTCCGAGCATGAATAGAGCGGTGGCGTGCACCTCGATCCTCGTGCTTCGATCCGTCTGAGTCAAAGTGGTGGTCATAAGGCACGCATCCGATAAGTGGCGGGAGTTGTTACGGCACAGCTGGTGATGGGCGCCTCCTGGGTCCCTGTCATCGTCACATCCCCCCTATTTCCGCTCGCCACTTGGCCCGCGCTTTTTCGCTTTTGTTGTTGTCCCGTTGTTGCCTGTCTCAAGCAACCCCCTTTCAATCCATTGCCTTTTACTTTGCTTACTTTACTTTAATTCTGTCCGTTGCTACGTTTCTGATATGTTTTTTCCATTTTACGTGTGACTCCATCTTAACTGTTAGAATTTGGCTTTAATGTTAGTACTTGAATGTGGGTGGGTGAATTAATGAAAGTTAATGAAATTTAATGCAACTAGGTTTTGTATTGTATGACAATACTTATCGTATATATATATATATATATATATTCCAGGATGTGGTGTTTTTGATGTAGAATGAGTTTTTTTTTTTTTTTTTTTTTTTTTTTTTCCTTCACCTCATAAGGAAAAAAATTCATTCTAAACTTGATCCAAGTCTCTAAAGGTGACTCCATTTGCACCTTCTTCCCTTGTCAAAAAGCAATGTAAAGAGACACTTCAAAAAACTCTAATAAATAAATCTATACTATAAAACATATCAAAGGGAGGCATAAATCAATGGAATAAAATCAAAGAGACAAATTGGTCTTCTAATTGGTTGCATCATTCAATCATCATTTTTTTCATTAGAAGTTTTGACAAAAACAATGCAAAGAGACATTTCAAAAAACTCTACTAAATAAATAAATCTATATTATAAAACATATCAAGGAGAGGCATAAATCAATGGGATAAAACCAAAGAGACAAATTGGTCTTCTAATTAGTTGCATCATTCAATCATCATTGTTTTCATTAGAAGTTTTGATAAAAATAATGCAAAGGTTAAACTAAGAAATAAAAATAATACATCAATTATGAGAATTTGTTTATGATGATTGTAGGGATTTTTTTTCTTCATGTAGTAGTGATTTTATTCATAGTTGTGTGTATGTAATTACATTGCATAAGTCTTTATCTTCTTCCATCATTCAAATAATTTTTGATTGCTTACTATGCTTTAATTATTATCTTCATGCCAATTTTTGCTTGCAATAAATAATACCAAAGAGCAAATAGACATATTACTACCTTCAGTTGAATGGAAGACAAAACATCAATAAGTAGAAAGTTGGACAAAGTATTGTTATATTGCATATGTATTGTTTAAAATAAGCTTTGATAGACTATGATGATTGGTGCTTTTATGTTGATTGAATAAAAAATAAGAATTGTATGAGAATAGATTGTAAAATTTTAGAATTGAATAACATGATGAAATTATTTGCAAATGTGTAGTAAAATTAAATGTTTAATGATTTTTTTTTTTTTTTTTTTTTTTTTTTTTATTATTTTCTTACAATGTTGATACTTTTCTATGCATTTCATTTTCCTACTATGGCTTAAATTTGAATTGCATAATATAGTTCAATTAAATAAAATATGGAGTTACTATTTTTTGACTCATCAATAGGAGTTGAAGACACTCAACTTAATTGAATAAATTTTTAATATTTTTGTTATAGTACCTTGCATGCAAATATTTTTTTACTTACCTAAAATTATTATATTTAAAATTGCAACTATGTACATCACTTATTACATAAGTTTCTTAAATTCAAAGGAAGATTGTGTTAAAAATTTATAAAAGAAAACCTATCTTCAGTTCTTAATTCTATCATTTTATCAATTCTTGTATTATATGATGTTCATAGTAATTTTTAATACTATAATATGTAATTATCAAGTAAAAAATATAACCTTTAATCTAGATTTAGCTATCAAATAAGATCTACCATTCTAGGAAGCTTAAACCTATTGTAGAACTTACAACTAACATCAGCTATGTTAAGTACTTCTAAATAATTTAGTCAATATGATGGGAGAAGAATGAAATTTTTCTTAAGAAATGTAGTCAAAATCCTACAACCATCAATATTATTCATAATAACAAGCTATATATTATTACTAGAATCCAACTAGCAACCAAATTATAGAATGGCCAAAAATTGTAATTTTCTCTAAAGACCAAATGCATCCAAAAAGTTATAGAATTTTTAAAAATATCACATGAAATTTGGATAGTTTTTTAAAGGAGGAATATAAGAAAGAGAACAAAAAAATGATCTCAAATATAACATATATAGTTAATGATATGAATTTTAAAGAAAAAAATATTAATAAACTCTTATATCTTTCAAAAAGAATAAAAAACTATTTAAAGATGATATAATATTAAATTGGAATAGCTATTATCAAACACAAAAAGACTAGAAAGTTTTGAAATAAGACTAAGGACTAGAAAGGCATTGACAAGAGTAAAGGAGGCTTTATTCTTGCCTCTATATATACTATTTAATTACAAGTTCTATGATAATGTTTTATTATCAAAACATAAACTAGATGAAAGCAAATAAATAAGTGAGACTTTTTCAAAGAAGTATGACAAAATAAAAATAAATAAGTATATATATTAAAAACAAATTGGAATGGCTATTGTCAAAAGACAAGAAAATTAGAGACTCTTGAAACTAGAGTAGAAGCAAGAAAAGAATCGATAAGAGTGAAAAAGACTTTATTCTTGTCTCTATATATACTATCTATCTAGGAGCTACATAGCAATATTCTATAGGATCTACAATAATGTGTTGACTTTCCATGACATATGTTTTAACTTGTAAAGCAAGTTTTCTATATGAATGCTACATAGTTAGCTTATTTTGTAAGCTATGAATATGTGTGGCATGTGGTTAATATATTGACCAAGTTTCTAACCTATTAATCAACTACAAACATATATAAAATCAAAGCAGCATCTATGAAGCTTCTAAGAAGCTTTTTTAAAAGATATTATGAAATTAATCTATTTTTATTTATCAAATAAGATCAAATATCTAATTTTTTATATTATCTAATAATCTATTAAATAAAATCTACTTATTCATGTTATCTAAGTAAGAATTACAATAAATGTATGTCTATGATATTACTCCCCTTTTTAGAGATGAGTTCTATGAGGAGTAAAAATTACATATTGACGAAGTCTCTGAATCCTAAATTTTGCATCAAAATTTTATTTAATTAATTTTTGATGTTTTTATAAGTAAAATTTTTATTTATTTTTTACTTGTGAAAAAATAGAAATTTTTTGTCTAAATTATAAACTAAAAACTTTAATTATTAAATTGATTTTAAAAAATCTAATTATAAAAAATAAAATTCTAAAAAAATATTAATTCTTATTTAAGATGAAGTTTTTAGAAAAGGTGAAATAATTATAGTTGGAATATGGTAAAAAATGATAAAAAGTTATTCTATTCTTAAAGCTAGAAGAGATAGAGAAGGAAGAAGATGAAGAGTTATTCTACTCTTGAAGCTATAAGAGATGGTGAAGGAAGAAGATAGAAAGTTATTTGACTCTTGAAGCCACAAGCAATAGTGAAGAAAAAATATAGAAAACTATTCTATCTTTCAACCATTACTGCAATGATAATAAATCAAGTCGGCTCTTAATTAATCTCTCTCAAAAGTTAATAAATTATTTTATATGAGTATTAATTAAATAAGTTATTAGAAACTAAAACCTATCCATTGATTGGTATCTATGGTGATTTATCATCACCTTGTGATAAATGGATGCCAATTATTAATTTTTTCTACAAATAGCATTGGTTGGAGATCTTAAGAGGTGTAGGTTGACCTCTTAATAAATAATGGTGCTTAAAATCTTAGTTGGTAGTTAGAATTATTTAAAATTAGATAAATTGATATTTAAGTTATAACACTTATATAGATTAATCAATGAAAAGGCTCTTGAATTATTTTTTATTATAATTTATTGACAAGATAATTGCCAATGAATGGCTTAAAGGCTCATGTATATAAGGCCCTTTCAAAGCCTTATTCTTCATCTGTCTCTCTTTCTTCTACCTTTGGTTTGAGCTCTTGATAAAGGTGACCTATTGAGGCATTAAAGAATTGTAGTGTTTTTATTTATTATAAATTTATGTTATAAGTTGCTTATTTTATAACTTTATTGGTCTTTTAGAATTCATTATTAGTGGATTATTATTTTTTATTTATCATTATTTTTTTAGATTAGAGATACAAGGTTGGAAAAAAAAATCATCAAATTTAGATATGAATTGAAAAAATTATAAGACTTTGAAGTTGAGAGGTTTTTTAGTGCTACTCCTTGCCTTGGAGGTTTGTTATAGCTATTGCTCTACTATGTGCTATTTTTTTCATCCATTTATGATTATTTTTATCTAATTATACTATCTTTATCTAGCTACATCTATTTTTATCCAACAATATTGTTTCTATCTAGTTGCACTTATTTTCATTCAACAACAATGTTTCGATCTAATAGTGTCTATTTTATCCAATAGCAGTATTTTCATCTTATAGTGCTATGTTCATCTAATTAAATTTTTTCATCCAACTATATTATTTCATCTAATAGTGCTGTTTTTATCCAATAATATTGTTTTTATTTGATTTTTCTATTTCATCCAAAAGTGCTATCTCCGTCTTATAGTACTATTTTCATTCAATTGTGATATTTTATTTAGCTATTTTCTTTTTTCTTTTTTCCTCATCTAGTGTCGTATTATATGAAATCTTGCTAAAAAATGTACGAAGCACCTAGCCATAGAAAGTAGAATAGAAATCATAATAACAAAATCTTAATTCTAATAGAATATTAAATAACTCTAATTAAAATTTTAATAATTTTAAAAAATCTTTAATCAAATTTAAAAGAAACCTTAAAGAAATTTTAAAAGAAATAATAAAAAATCTTAAAAGAATTCAAAAGAAATCCACAACAAATCTTAAAATAATCCTTAAGAAATCCTAAAGAAATATTAAAATAATCATAAATATATCTTAAATAAATCTAAACTAAGTCTTAATTTAATC